TTAGTCTGAGATGCAACCTATAACTCTGCCATTTTGTTGAAAGGTAAACCAACCCTCCCATTTTATAGATGAATAAACTGAAGTCTAGTGAGGTTCATAGACTTTTCCAAAGTTATAAAACTAAGAAGTAACAGAGACAGAATTAAAAACTAGGTTTCTTTCCTCCATCAAATATTTTTTTCCACAACATCTGAGTATCCTTTAGATTACCTGCAACTTATTTTTAAAGTCCTATAACGCAATACAATTCCCTGAAGGTCACAGAATTAGCTATAATCCAACTGACTGCTATCCTTTTATTTTAATACCCTGCAGCTGCATTTACGCTGAATATTTTTTTATTGTACTTTGAAATTTAGACATGAATCCAAGATTCTAGGATTGTTCCTGGGGACCAAATGATATTTAAGATCCAATCTATTGGGTCTCCTCTGATCCACAGACACTCTTTACCTGGAAAGTATTTGTGTATCTGGGACAACTCAAGGAAATGCAAAGAATTTTACATTTGGACCAAATAGAAACCAAACTATACTCCATATCCAGCTCTCCTCAATGTGTCCTTCTTTCCTGCTCACCCATTACTTGCAGGTTTCCTGTCCTGTGCCTGAAATGCATTCTTTTATTATCTCTGCCATTTGGAATCCCTTGTTTCTTTCATAACTCAGCTCAAGCTCCTCCCCTCCTTTTTTTTTTTGCTTTTCCTGATCCTCTAAGCTATTTGTTTCCACTCACCAAGTTACCTTGTATTCATCATGTATATATTTTATACATATTTATATATGTACATGTTCTCTCTTCTCCGATAGAATATGTGTTCCCAATATCTTTTTCCATGCCTGATACATGATAGGCATTTAATAAATACTTATTAATTGACTCTCTGACTGAGTTCAAAGAATTTCTAAAATGATTATAAGTTTCCAACCTGCCCCCGTAGTTTAGGATCCAGGATGGTAAACCCTACAGAGGTGATAAGCTATGGATACAGCAAATTTCTCCAAGATAAATAAAATTATATGTCCATGTTTCATACTCTTGAAGGATAATTCTTGTATGTCTACATAGAGAACTAATTTAAAAAGTTCCTTGATCAATTTGACTAGCTTATTGAAAACTTTTTTGGGGGGGGGGGGATGATTTGTGGTTATAAAAGGTGATTTGTGAAATTACCCAGTTTGGTGATGGACCTTTGTTTGGATTGCATCTGCCTATAGAACAGAAATGCATGAATAGATTTGGGTGGTGGGGTGCAATCCAGGAATTTGGATGCGAAAAATTATATATTTTCCCTAATCTTTAACTGAAATTTAACATTTCCTTTAATTATGAATGTAGGCAACAACCAGTATTCTAAGAAGGGATCCCACAGGCTTTACTAGACTTTCAAAGGTGTTCATGACACACAGAAAAGTTAAGAATTCCTGCTATAGAGAGTATGGAAGTGCCCCTTGGTACCTTCTGGAGAGTGTGGTTCAGTGACTGGAACTACCACCAAGGCGAATTGGTTAGATTGGATTCTCAGAAGGATAAATTCTTGTCAGAGGAGCCATCCCTTTGTGATGGCCTATAAAAGGTGTCTTCATTGAGACAAATGTTTTCCTTTTTGATTTTTTTTTCTGGAGAGATCCTGAAGGTGTGATGCAAAATGACTGCCCATCCCCCTTCCATCCCTATAAAGAACTATTAAGGTGTTAAGGGAGAGATTTGTGGCAGAGGTAGCCATATGTTCGTCCACATGGCCCAAAAGGGGATTTCACAACTTCATTCCTGAATACTTGCCTCCTAGCTAAAAAAGGAAATTTCCTAGGAATTACGATCTTAAAAACTAGATTACTAGATATAGGTGGGGATTTCCTGGCAGTGCTAGCTTTGTGGGTTGCCTCACTGGTAATGGCAGGTTCAGGAGTCATGGAATGTGGACTTCTATCTAAAGAAGGGAGAGTTTTCTGAGGGGTGCCAGACTTAGAGATTGCTTTAAGGGTAACCTCAAATTGGGGAGTAAGGGCATCCAACCTTCTCTCTAGATGAGGGGACTTTCTTGGACAGTACGCCTCTAGGAGAGAGAAGAGGATTACATATATGGTTCCTGATGCTGAATACAGCAGCTGCAAGGGACCAAAAGCAATGGAATAAACAAGCATGGAACCTGGGGCCTTATATCCTGCTATTACAGTGAGTAATTTGTATAGTGAAAGTCTGATGAAAAGGGGGTTGGTTATCTATCAGCCCCAAGCGTGTTTCCCTTTCAGTGGCCTGTCCAAACCACAGTTTGGCATTGCAAGTCAGAGTGGGAGGAATTGTGCAAAGTTATATGAGAAAAAAAAGTAAGGAAAAGTGTATTGATTATTTATTGACAATTGTGAGTCCCTTTATGTGTTTTCTGCATTTGTTGATGATCGAGACATTCTTTTGTGTGCTTTTTCATACTATGTGAGGTGAAATAAAAGCCATCCTATACTCAATATGCATTTCATAATAAGAAAATCAATAAAAGCTGTCCTATACCCAATACTGTTTTATAAGATCATAGACCTGGAGCTGCCAGGAACCTCAAAAGCTGTCTAGTCTAACCTCCTCATTTTGCATTTTGAGTTAAATAGAGGCCTAAGAAGGTTAAGTGAATTGCCCCCAAATCAGCCAGAGAGTAAGCATAAGAAACAGGATTTGAGCCCAATAATTCTGACTTCAGAGCCAGGGCTCTTTTCATGGTACTACACATCTTTACATTGAGTTATTGTATGGGAACCCACACCTGTGGAGACTTCTTATTGTTGTTGCTCAGTTGTGTTTGACACTTTGGGAACTCATTTGGGGTCTTCTTGGCAGAGATACCAGAGTGGTTTGTCATTTCTTTCTCTAGCTCATTTTACAGATGAGGAAACTGAGGCAAACTGGGTTAAGTGACTTGCCCAGGGACTGTGTGTGAGGCCAGAGACTTAATTAGGCAAGAACAATATTTTGAAATTTCCCAGGGTAAGCTCTGGCTGGGGATGGATTACAACCTTGCAAGATATAAAAGATGCTTGTTTCCTGTGTGCAGAAGAAGTATCCTTCTGACTATATACATACATACTTACATAATACATATATACACATATATACATATATGAACATACACACACACACACTATATATATATATATATGTATATATACATATCTCAAAGCATGGCTGAAATAGACTAGGCAATATTTCATTCTTGCGAATTTTACACCCAGCTATGACTATTACCTCCTAGCCCCCTCTTCCCAATGCTATTTTGACCTCATCCTGCTATTGGTTGTACTAGGTAGGGGCAATGTGATGTAATAGAAAGAACATTGAATTAGGAGTTGAGAGATCTGAGTACAAGTAATGAATGTTCCTCTTACTGTGTGACCTAAAGCAGTTCCTCAACCTCTTTAAGCCTCAGTCATCTTCTATAAAGTGGAAATAATAATATTGGTACAACTTAACCTCACAAGATGGTTGTGAGAATCAAATGAGACCATGAAGTGCTTTGTAAACAATTAATTCCTGTATACACGTCAACCATTTCTTGTTCTGTAAGAAGAAAAATAGATCATAGAATCATAGCCGTAGAACTGGAAGAGATCTTAGAGGTCATAGTCCAGCCTTCTCATTTTACAAATGAGGAAAGTGAGGCTCAGAGTGATCAAATGACTTGTCAACGGTCACACAGGCATTAAGTGACAGAGTCAGGGTTCAAACCTGGGTCTTCTCCTACATACAGTACTTATCCCCACAGCACCATGCTGCCTCCAGAGAGTACTTTCATGGAACATATTTCATAACAATTTATCTCAGAAGAATTTGGAGCTACTCAGGAGATTCAAATCTCTCAAAAGAAATCTCACGAAAATGATTACAGATTTTTCTATATCTTTATTTTCTGCTTTTTTCATCATCATACCACACACGTCAAGGCTAATTGGGTTCACGGCACTGAACTGTGTGTTTTCATTTTGGCTTAAAGTGAATTTACATTTTCCTTCATTCTCCATCCCACCCCATCTTCCACCTACTACCTCAGGGGCATTACCAATAGTTTTCTAAAATGTCATTTTTGACCTTTCCATGTTGATTTCCCTCTAAATAAGCTGGATGTAACTGGATACAAATGGATTGCTATTACTTGGATTTAATCTGACATCAACATATTATCAGAATTATTTTTTTTAATCCTCTAGAATCCTTGTGCTTTCTGAGTTCCAATATTCTTGTTACTGGGTTTTAACTTGCTTGATGAGAAGCTAGGGAAAGAGAGTGAGAGAGATGTGGAAAGAAATCAATCAACCGACAAGCATTTATTAAACATCTACTATGTACCAGGCACTGTGCTAAATGAAGAGGGTGCAAAGACAGTAAAGGAGTCATTATTCTGGAACATGGCTTCTCTGTCACGAGGAAAAAAAAAAACTAGGCATGGATTCGGAACTGGCATGTAGGTTTTTGTGTTCTATTTAAGGTGCTCAATGTCTCAGGACTAACAGTCCTGGTGAAAATCCGACACTCCTTTCCTCCCTGGTATGTCTTAGCATAACTAGTTCCTTCTTCTGCAAGATCTGATACCATCTGCCTCGCTTTAGGCATGGAATTTAAATCCTCCCTGTGTCTGCTCTCTGTCTCTTCCAAAGGTGCAGGGATACAAGAGGCATTCAGAGCCAAAGTCCAAGGAATGTGTCAGAGCTCCTCCGTGCAGAAGTGTATTAACCCCTACCTCCAAGTCTTTGCTTAAGGGCCAGAGCAACACTTCCGAAGGATGGCCCACCCCCTGGCCGGTGATAGGCTGCTGAGAATAGCAACAGCCTGTGTCACTGGAAAGGGCAAAGCTTTCTGAAATAGAAACAAAAGTTGTTCACGAATCACTCCAGCTTGGCCTGAAGTTCCCCAGCCCCCCCCCCCCCGAGTTGTCCCCCACTCCCATTCTTCTGCTGTCACTGTCTCCTATACCATGCTGCCATGGGGAAAGTAATTGCTCCAGTTTCTGTCGGCAGGGCAGGTTTTGGTCTCGCACACCCTGAGGAAAGACTCTTAACTTGGAGATGACATGATAATGGTACCTGTTCAAAAAGCTGAGGAGCCTAGCCGGCTGTGCCACAAAATGAGAGCAGCCGAGAGTGACGGCAACGACAGCCCGGGCGGTGCTCGGCGGCAGCTTCCCGCTCCAAGAGGTAAAAAGGCACCCCCACCCCCTTCCTAGTCCCCCAAGCCGGGCCATGGACCCTGGGAGTCTAGCGTGGCAAGCCCGGGTAACGCTGCTGCCCGGGGATGGCGCACCAGGATGGGACAGGGAGAGGTGTTTGGGAGCTGGGCGATTGGGGCTAAGCCTCCTCCGAGGTACTGACCTTGTTTAAAGACAAAAGGTGAGCGGCGAGCAAAATCCCGGGACTGCCCTCGGCCCTTAGAGAATTGTCCCAGGAGCAATCAATCCCTTTGGTGGCGGGTTCTCTCATTCCTCAAAGTCGTGCAGTGGCATGCATACATTCTTCTCATGGTGGCAAAGTTTACCAGAAAAGTCAGAAAGACCTGTTCGCATCCATCTCTCCATCCATTCCCATCCATCCCAGCTATCCGTCCATCCCCTGGGCGGGGGAAGGGGGACGTTCCTCAGGGATTCCCATTTACTCCCTGGCACAATCACACACTCCCCTAGAAGAGCGGATTGTTGGACGACAGTGTCCTAGAGAGCGATGAGGCTAGGATAAGTTTAATGGAAAATATACAGTAAAGTCATGTAGGAACATTCTTCTTCCACACACACCCTTTTTCAAATCTCACACTTGCGCCTATTCGTAATGACTTTAAGCCTCCTTTTAAAGCCTGGACTGTCTTCTTGGAAGGAAACTTTTCCATTACTTTTGCTCATAAAGTTTGAGCTAATTCATTTCAGTTGTCTCCGTGAAAGCAAAGTAACTTTCTTTGACTCTAAAGTTACTTTGTTTATAGTTTACATGCAGAAATTTCCAATGCCAAACAGCACCTTTCTGGCTCCCTCTCCTCAATCACTGTGTGCTCAAGAAATGAAAACTAATTTTGGTATTAACCAAAATCTAACATAATTATATAAATCTGCTACTGAAAACAAAAATCATATTTCACATTCCAAAGACTGTGGGGGTCCTTTGTAACTAAGGGTGCGTGTGTGTCAGAATGTAACACATTTATTTGAGTATGTCATAATTTAAGTTTTCTGTAGCTAAACCACATAATAATGAGTTCTTATAATGGGATTCTAGCATGTTCCTGGATTTAAAAAAAAACGTTATTCAGGGTTTTAAAACAATCTTCATTGACTGAATGCTTCTTTGCTGAATGCTGTCTTCCACTAACAGATCATTCAGATTTAATTGTAATTCAGTTTGATCATTAGGACATCAACATTTCATTTCTCTTTATAAAATTCCAGAATATTTACATAGCTGAAAAACAACAGTTAGTTGATAGAGTAAATCATTTTAAAGTATTATGCAATAATTCATTAGGCAGAGATTCATCAAGTGCCTACTGTGTGCAGTATACTATTAGGTACTGGGAGAGACAGAAAATTTATGAGACATGGTGTCTGTTCCACGGAAGTTCTTGATATACCAAGGGAGATAAGATATGGATATAATTAATTATAATATGAAATAGCATATGATAAATGCATAATAAGTTCTATGACTGTTTAGAGGAGGGAGAGATCACTTCTGTTAGGGATTAATAGACCTGGGCATTTGACCTGGGCTTTAAGGGATTTAAACTATACAGAAGTGGGGATGACAGTAAAGAAAGAAGGAATTCCAGGATAAGAATAAATATTAATTGATTGATTTTATATAAAAAAAGAATGATACAGTAACTCTTGATTATCATAATATTAATAATCACTTAATAGAATGTAAGGTCCTTGAGACAGTCCTTTGCATATAGCAGGCACTTAAGTTTGTTAAATTGAATAGTATGTAGTATTTTAAGATGCACAAATAACATTCTAAATAAACTTTATGAATTAGGTAATGCAAATACACTAGAGAAATTGAGACTCAGAGAGGTTAAGAGAATTATCCAGATATAACATCACTGATTATGTGCATGGACAAAGGGTTTACATTGTTATGGAAAAATCAAATTGGTGATTAATGGGAAAAATCCATTTGGCTTTGGAATTCTTTTTTGTACTTATATTTGATTTTTGAGTGTCTTATTTGTGAATTCAAAACTCTGCTAAAGTAATGAAGTTCCACTGTTAATACTGGACTCAATGAATGAGAAAGCTCCCCATATTTCCTGTTTTATTCCTCTCCTTGCTTATTCCCTGATACTCACTTTAAATTGGGAGTAAACAGTGTCACCTCTCACCAAGTTCCACCCCAAAGTTAAGCTGCCATTTCTCTTTAAGTATATGCCCTTATTGTCTGGCTCACATCTTTCCCAAGGGTATCAATTTGGAGTAAGAGTACATAGAAATAGTAGTAAATCAATAAAAGGGAGAAGGTGATAAGTGTCACAAGAAAAAGATTTGCCAGGAATGTGAATAAATTAACTGTGAATAACTGAAAACTGGTTATGTAATTTGGGTGGTTTTTGATAAAATGGTGTATTTTTGATAGGCTCTAAAGCTGTAAAACTTTATAAGTCTCCCAAAGAAATGCAAAATATAATTTATAAATGATGATGGCTGACATATATATGACTGATACTATATTTATATTATCTATGTACTTTACTTATATCAAAATGTACCTATACCCCAAAATGTATTGAAATTGAATCCTTTGAGTATTAAAAATAGTAAGTGACTAGACTGTTATGGATATTCCATTTTAATAATTTTTTTCTTATTAGGATTTTTAAATCTTCAGTCATTTCTAAAAGGAAAAAAAAACCCTTCCCCTCCCTTCTAGACTGACTCCTCCTAGTAAACAAAGGAAAGAAGCAAAAACACCTGATAAAATGACTACATCTGACAATGTAAACAATATTCTGCCCTCTAGTCCTTTGCCCATCTTCCGGGAGAAGGGATGTATGTTTAAATGAAACCATTATTATATAGAAAAAGAGTAAAATTATTCCTTTAAAAAATCCTAACAACTGAATCCTGCCTTGTTTTTGCCTGCAGATGGGTTGGACTATAGCTGAATGGATGAACTAAATTATTAATAGAAACTTTTCTGCACTGCCCAAGGCACGTGTGCATATCAAAGGCAATGATATATATGTTGCATGATATGGTTACAGACATGTGTACTCTATATTAAAGAAAGATACTCTGCAAAACAGACAATTCATTCGATCTTTTTGGTCTTTAAAATTAAGAATGATAGTTCTACTTAATGAGAGGAGTCAGAAGGCTTGGATTCTTGGCCCAGCTTGTAACATTAACTAGTTGTGTGACTTTGGACTCTCTCAGTTTCCTCAGCTATGAAGAGGAAGGAATTAGATGAGAAGATCTCTAAGGACCCATCCAGCCCTAATATTATTTAAGATAATGTTTGCCGAGCACTTTGAGCTTCCACTTGAAGGATCTACTCCTTTCTACTTCTCTATAGCATCTATGACTTCTTGCATTGAAGCAATTTAGAACATTAATGATTATGAAGTCCCTAATGGAGGAAGGTTTCTCCACGTCTCTGGAGGCAAAAACTGAAGCATGAAAAAAGGTGAATTACACCATGAGGACAGAGAGGTCATAGATTTAAGTCTGGAAGGGACCTCAGTGGATACTTATTCTAACCCTTTTGGTTTACAGATAAGGAATCTGAGATCTTGAGAAGGTAAGTGACTTGCCCAAGGTTATCCATATAATGGTAAGAGGCAGGAATAGAATCCCAGTCCTGTGCCCTTTCTACTACATATACCACACCTCCTTTGCTTGAGTATATTCTCACCTTGTGGCTCTCCCAAGCTTCTGTTATCACATCATAAGGACTATTGACTCAAAAGATGCTCCTTCATGACCTTGGGAGTACAATGGAAAAAATACTGACTCTGGAGTAAGAGAACTTGATTTAAATCCTGTCTCCAATGCTTACTACCTGTGTAGTAAGTGGGCAAGTGATTTGGTTTATTCATGTGTAAAATGAAGGGACTAGATTGCCTTGAAGGATCCTCCAGTTCCATGATCATGTGATCCTTGATGCTTCTCTCTGTCTCTGTGGCTCTGTCTGTGTCTCTATCTGTCTCTTTCTTTTTGTCTCTGTCTCTCTATCTCTTTTTCTGTCCTCCCTCCTTTTCTTCTTCCTTTCTTCCTTTCTCTCCCTCCCTCTTGTCCCACTCTTTTTGCTTCCTCTCTTTCTTTTTCCTTCTTTCCTTCCTCTCTTTTTCCCTCCCTCTCTTTTCTTCCTTCTTTCCTTCCTTCCTTTCTTCCTTCCTTCCTTCTTTCCTTCCTGTCTTCTTTCTTTCTTTCTTTCTTTCTTTCTTTCTTTCTTTCTTTCTTTC